CTTGAGCCCAGGAGTTGGAGGTTGCTGTGAGCTGTAATGCCACGGCACTCTACCCAGGGGGACAGCTTGAAGCTCTGTCTCAAAAAAATAAATAAATAAATAAATAAATTCATTGTCATAATCAGCCTTCATGTTCTATTAGTCTAATTAGGTCCCAACTTCTTCTTTTGATAAAAAAGTGTCATTAAGAAGGTTCTATATGTGGGGAGAAGCAATCCCTGAAGTGAATAAAACCTACTATCACATAGGAGAACACATAATAAAAGAAAACAGGCATACCTCCCAGAGCATAGAGCAACTCCAAAGCTTGAACCATTGACTGTGCTGGAGGGGGCTATAGAAAAAAAAAAAAACAGACAAACATGAAAATCTTCAATAAATTTTAGGGGGTAACAGACCTAAAAATGTAACCATTTCCTGCTCAAATCCACTCTCCCCTCTAACATGCCCCCTGCTTCCCAGCCTTCTGGCTTCTGCTCACCTAGCCATCTTAGCACCCTTACTATTATGTGGCCTTAGTACATACTACAGTACTGGGAAGATTTATCCTTGCATCACCCAGAGCCCCAGGCCAGGACTGGTTGAATAATATACACTGAATCTGGATTTCTGAAAATCAAAGAGAACGCTAGAGGACCTGAAGTCACTCAAAGCTGACGCTGTAACCTTTGGTCTCATTCTCTGGAGCCACACCTCCTTCTTCCCTTACACAGATCTTTACTAAGCACCTACTAAGTGACAGACATTGGTGTTTTCTTCTGAGTTATCTGATCTCTATAAGCCAGCTAAAATTATAATACTTTTTCAAACTGTATTTCTTTTTTTCTAAATGCAATCATATAACAAATGTATTTAAAGCATCGCATTGTTTTAGCTCCATTTCACAGATGGGGAAAGTAACAATAAATAAAAGACATTTGAACAAGGTCACAGATGCAGTTGGTGGCAAAGTCAGAAGCTGAACTCTCCTCATTTTTTCCACTCTACCTCCCCTACTTTGTTTGCCAAGAAATGAAGCAGATCTTTTAAAAGCTTTAACAACTGTACAAACAGGTGCACACACTTAGAAGGGCAGAAACTAAACCTGATTGATCATACAGAGATTACCAGTGACCCACAAGCCTCTCTTTGGTGCTGTGACAACTTTTTAGACGGAGCCAAAATGTATAACACCTAAATAGAGAAGCTCAAACCCTCCAAGGGTCTCTCATATGAGATAGCAGAAATAGCAAAGCTCTGAATTGGGTTATGACAATTACAGAACAAAACTAACAAGGTCCTCCTTTTTTTGTTTTTCTTTTTTTTTTTTGCAGTTTTTTGGCCAGGGCTGGGTTTGAGCCTGCCACCTCCAGCATATGGGGCTGGCACCCTACTCCTTTGAGCCACAGGCTCCGCCCTCAAGGTCCTCTTTGATGCCCTTCTATCCCTGGTTCTATTTCCAGTCAATTATCACCAATGGATAGAACTCACAACCTACCCCACCCTGAAATCAGATAAAGTATTTTCACTTAATGACACATTAGTATTTCTCTATGACCTCATAAAGGTCTGACCTGGGATCGTATCAACATTGTTTTAACATATTTGGAATTACTATGTATGCATTATTTTAGCTTGTTCTTTTCACTGTATGTTTTTCTGCTTTCATTATTGCTTGTACCCAAGCTTCACAACAATTACTTGGGATAAGTGCGTAATACTCCCATCATACTTCACAAAGAAGTCAATTTTCTTATTCCTGGGAAATTGTGTTGTTTCCAGATTTTCACAACTATAAGTAACACTGCTAAATATACAAAATCATATGCATCCTGTGATTTCAACTATAAAAAAAACACAATTTCGGCTCAGCGCCTGTGGCTCAAGTGGCTAAGGTGCCAGCCACATACACCTAAGGTGGCAGGTTCGAATCCAGCCCGGGCCTGAGACTCGCTTGAGCCCAGGAATTGGAGGTTGCTGTGAGCTGTGATGCCACAGCACTCTACCTAGGGGGAGAGCTTGAGGCTCTATCTCAAAAAAAAAAAAAAAAAAAACCCCACAATTTCAGGGGCCAAGAACCAGAAGGGACTATATCAAGGTCAATTTCATTTTTCAATTGTCCAAAAGTCTTGTTATGATTTTTCTTTAGTTATATTATTAGATTTAATATAAAATAATGCTATAAGCATTATCATACACATATGTAACCTTTTTTCTTTTGAATTACTTTTTCAAAAGACATTTCTATGAGAAAACAAAGCAGGTGGTTCTAGGACTCATTAAGTATTATCAGAAAGTCCTGCATGAGGGCAGAAACAGAGCAAAACCACCAGCAGTACACGAAGATTTACTTTCCTAAACTGTGTCAGCTCTGGGTCCTCTTTATAGTTGATCTTTTACTTAGTGCAACGTCATCCACCTACAGCTGTGTCAGCGTGTGCTTACCTCTGTCCTAGAGAAGCTGGACGCATCCTAAAGTCAGTTTACAACGTGTGCTAATTCCTTCCCTTTCCTTAGGGCATGTTTGATTTACTCCAAATGATGTACATGAAAAATCGCTTTGTATTTTTTGAGATATTTATCTGTTATTTCTTTCATAAAATACTTTCCTCTAATTTTACATGTGACACTTTTCTTAAGCTTGTAAATGTGCATATATTGTTCATCTTTTCTTTACAATATCTTCTGCATACCAATAATCAAAGGGTATGTTTTCCCTATACGTATGGTAAGAACACAATTATTTTCTTTGGAGGGGTTGATACTGGTACATTTTATTCTTTCAATCACCTCGTCTACCATGACGCATGACATTAGGGACTTCATCATCCAAGAATCCAGACCTGTCACACCATACCAATACAGCTGGGAGGGAACAAAGAGTCAAAATGCAAATTCTCAAATCACAAAAATTCTAGAAGGAAATTATGAATGAGTATGTATTGACTGACACAGATAAAAGAAGTGCTTCCTAGTCAGGCACAGTGGCATGCACCTGCAATCCCAGGTACTCTAGAGTCTCAGGCAGGGAGGATCGCTTGAACTCAGAAATCTGGGACCAGACTGGACAACACAGCGAGACTCCCATCTCAAATAAATTTTAAAAAAAAGAAGTGCTTTGTAAGCACAACAGCATAAAGGCAAAGATAGAAAGATTTTACTGTAGATATGTTTAGAATGTCTGCACATTAAAAAGGGAAAAGCTGGCTCAGTGGCTGTAGCTCAGTAGCTAGGGTGCCAGCCACATACACCAAAGGTGGCAGGTTCGAACCCAGCCTGGGCCCACCAAACAAAAAACGACAACTACAACCAAAAAATGGCTGGGGGTTGTGGCGGGCGCCTGTAGTTCCAGCTACTTGGGGGGGCTGAGGCAAGAGAATCACTTAGGCCCAAGACTTGGAGGTTGCTGTAAGCTGTGATGCCATAGCACTCTACCGAGGGCAACATAGTAAGACTCTGTCTCAAAAAATAAATAAATAAATAAACAGGAAAAAGCCGTAAAATACAAATAACAACAACAACAAAAAAAAAAAATCACAAAAAATATTACAAAGGTCAATGTCTTTACTATTTTTTTTAATTTTTTTTTAATTAAACCATAGCAGTGTACATTAATGGGGTACAGTGTACTGTTTCTATATACAATTTGAAATACTTTCACCCAATTGGTTAACATGGCCTTCATGTTTTTTTCTTAATTATTAAATGTTAAAACATTTATATTCTACATTTAGAGAGATTCACATGTACCCTTTAGGATGAACCATAGCCTGATTTGTCTTTACTATTTAAAGGACTCTTGGAAAGTCACTAATAAATACTAATTCTAACAGAAATACTAATTCTCACAATTCAGAAGAAAAGCAAAACTGCCAACTAAAAATATACCATAAGGGAAATTAAAAAAAAAATAGTAAAGATAACATTTACCCTCTCTCTACAGGCAGTCAAATTAGCAAAGCTAAAAGAAATAAACCTGGCATGATGGGGGCACCATGAGCTGGAGCTAACACAGTGCAGCAATCTGGCCAAGTGTCAAGAGCCCACAGCAAAGGCCAAGTGTGGTGGCTCAGGCTATAATCCTGGCACTCTGGGAAGCCGGGGTTGAGTGGATTGCTTGAGCTCAAGAGTTCAAGACCAGCCTGAGCAAGAATAAGACCCTGTCTCTACTAAAAGTGGCTACAGGCCTGTATTCCCAGTTACTCAAAAACAAAAAAACTAAATGAAACAAAAAAGAGACTCTAGGGGAGAAAAGAAGGGGTTGGGAGGATCAAGGTATATGGCCCACCTCTTGGAGGCAGGACACAATTATAACAAATACAAATATATGAATGTTTTGACATAATAACTAAGAAAGTTACATGAAGGCTATGTTAACCAGTTTGATGAAGTGTCTTGGATTTTCTATGAAAACACCACACTGTATCCCCAAAGTGCATCAATGTACACAGTTACCATT